AAAACTGAAGTATCTTGCAATTACAATGATGCTGAGATACTTGCAAAACTCCGGACCACAGGTGTCTGTGGTGGTGAACGAACACGCGCTATTGACCTTTCTGGGCGCTAACGCGTTCACCACCACACCATGCAGGTCCTTCGTTTCGCATGTCTCTCAGCTAATTCTTATCTGGTTAAATTACTGTATAACAAAATTTGTTTCCAATAGAACACACTTTGAAGGAATTTAAAAGCCGTTAAACGAACGGCGGCAGCAATGGTAGTGTTTTTCGCAGTATCGGTTTTCAAAAATGTAGCCATAAAAAGTGGCGTTTGAAATTGAATATAGAAAATAAAAAGTATTAGTTATCGAGAGGAGATGAAATGCATTTATCTATGAAAATTCCGATTGTTACTGAAAACCAAGCAGATTTATAAGCCTGTGGAAAACTCAAGCATTTCGAAAGCCTGCGACTTTTTATCCAGGATAACTGGTCGGTGGGCCTGAAACGTTTAAAAAACATGAACATTGGAGCAGTCGGAAAAGTACAACCATTCAATCATCTCTGTTCAGCTGCCAAAATAAGGTCCAAAAAATGAAGCCATCCTTTCTCTTTGTGTTCGCAGCTTGTGTTAATTGAAAACTGAGATCTTCATTGCTAATGAAGTAGAAGAAATTCAAAGTGTGGTGGTGTAAGTTCTTTTTCGTTAACAATCTAGAGCAATTTTCTAGGTAGGTTTGTGTGCGTATGCACGCGTGGGCGTGTGTGTATGTGCGTTTGTTCGTCTGTACGTGTGTTTGTGCGTGTGTGTGTGTGTGTATGTATGTGTGTGGTGTGTGTGTATGTGTATGCATGTGAGTGAGTGATGTGAAATATCAGTGGAACAAAACAGATATTGAGATTTTTCAAATGTCATGGGTAGAATAAGTTTCCAAGGCAACCTATGCAGAACAGACTAATAGAACAATAATGCTTATTAGCATTCGTTGGCGGTGATGAAAAAGCATCCCTATACTCGAGCCCAACATAGACACTTTCCAATCGCAATTGTAGTAACATTTTTTCTGCTCACAAAACAACAAAGTCTTCAAATCATTAGCATAGGAAGTGATTGGAGGCCACTCGATTTTGTTGGACTGATAACGAGGAATTTCTGCGCCAACATCAAAGGTTTCAGATGTAAACGTAGAGCGCTGATGAAAGAAGGCGGGTGAAAATTGAAGAATTGAAACAACGATTTTTTCCCTGCTGGATTTCATGCCACCTCGTGCTACCACTTGAACGACAAGTTTACATGATTTTCCCACAAACGTAGTATGCTTTTATTAGAGCCAATAAGTCTATTAGGGGCGCGTGGGGCGCAGTAGTCAGGGGGGGGGGGAACTGCGACACACACGTGGGATTGATCTCCGCGCCCGTGGCTCACCAAGTCTTCCATTTCTACGAGGTTGGCAAATTGGTACCAGACTTGTCTAAGCACAGAGCTGTCGAAAAAGCTGAAAGAAATTCAACATGAACTGCAGAACAATTTTTGTCTTTTTGTGCCAGCGGAAATAGGTCGTCAGAACAACGTCGTCGGAACAAACCACTTCACAACCGCAGTCCACACCTACGCATATCGAAAGGTAGAGTTTGGCAAGAGAAGAAGGAAGTGAACACGTAAAGGTAACCACAGTACTAATGCTAATATCTTATAAAAACATTCCTTCGCAATAATCAAGTAAATAATCATCGGTCCGGCGTTTCTCTTCTCATGAAGGGTTTGACAACGATTAGACAAAACGGCCATATTACAAGTGATAACTTGTAAGTGAAGCTGATATAACTTCATCAAGCAGTTGTTTTCATCGTTTTCGCTTAAGTTGAGGATGTTAAGTGATGTGTGAGTTCAGTTACATCCAGGGTCGAATTGCTAGGATATTCAAGAATATTCACAAACTCTTCCTCTTCACGAACGTCGACCAACATTCGATGCTGACAATGTGATGACAACAGTTCAATCTTACTATTTTTCTCATTGTTATCTTATTATCGACAACAATGCACTACGGGCGGATAGCACAGTGGTAGTGATGTCGGTTATCACGACCATGGTGTTAGTTCGATTTCGCTCTGGGCCAATGAAGCCTCTCATCCTTCCGGGATCGGGAACTTGGTACCGGATTTGTCTGGGAAAAAATCACTCTCTGCAATCCAAAGGGGAATGCCCCAGTCCGGCTATTTCAGGACTCTAGGGAGAATCGACCCGACCAGCATTCTACGACATTCAAGATGAAATGAAAAACCTCAAGCAGCAACCGAAGCCACACGTAAAAACTTGGAAGAGTTTCGTTGATAATGGATGCGAGGAAACGAATCGAATGTGAGATGTGATGGGATCCGCACAGTAGACGTGAAAACGGGTCATATAAAGTAAAGTAAAGTAAAAATGCACTACATCTTTTGCTCACTTCTGTCAGCAATCACACTACTAGAGTATGAACATGAACGTTACAGTAAAGAATTATATTAGCGGCAGAACTGATCCAGTGGTGAGAGCAAAACAAACGAATGATATGAATCGAATCGAATAGAATCGAAGTCGAACGTCAAACGAGTGGAATTCGATTTACCGAAAAGAGTGCTGAATGCTTAGGTGTGTATTTGGGTAGAGAAGGTAGTTTTATGAATACAAACTCATAATATATTCAGAGTTCCATCTTGTTAGTGCCAGCAGAGTATTTTCTAAGACCTTAATTTCTGTTTTTTGAATGCTTCGAAAGATAAAAAAAAATAGAAGAAATGGTATTTTAAAAGCAAAAAAAGGCATGAGAACGATATAAATAGGGAAAAATGGAACGAAGAACAAAATATTCGCATAGATACCTTCTGTTATGGACAAGGACAACAATAATGATGGCTACATCACAAATGAGAACATTTTCGTGCGCCTAAGAGTAATATTAAACACTTAAAACATGAACATTATGGAAGAACTGGGGATTGGTGGATCTCCTAAACAGAACCGCAAGTCTCCATTCCTCGGACACCTCATGCTCGTCATCCATCCCAGTTCGTCAACGCGGGTAAACGGTCTGGTGATGACTTTGCGTGGCGCTCGAGACGTCAGAAATCGTTAAAATTTCTAAGGATACAACCAACACTTCAACAGCGTCAAATAGGGATTCGTACTATCAAAATCCATGAAGCGCCTCATTATTTAGATTGAGGTAACGTCGAAGCGCTATTTCACTGGGTGTACCACTACTACATACTAATTTGCAAAATGTACCGTGGATTGAGTTCTGAGCCCGGTAACACAATTTTTGGATGGAGAACACCTACGAGGTACTTGTGCAGATGTGTTGTTATTCACATAAAAGGTTACGATATTAGAGTAGGTGGAATTTGACTGGCGTATCGACTTTCACGACGACGGCGCGATTCGAAGAAAACATGGATAGCGGATGACTACAGGGTACGAGGCGTATGGAAGCTATGGTGGTGGTAGAAGCTGTGCGTGTGAATATGAACACTCTACCCGTTAACATGAGGAAGTTGTTATTCATTCTAGAGTGACACAATCTGCATCTGAATAGCCCATTAGCGTCGAGTAAAACCGAAATAATAACTGAATTTGTAGGCGTGGAGCTCCACAGGGATGTGGCACGTATTGAGTGAACTCATAAGCGAATAGTGAAATTGTTTGCAGTGTTTGCCCGACGGTTACAGCGTCTATTGCAATCAGCAGCTAGATGGATAGGACACTTAATTTAAAATAAATGACGTAGAGAAACGAAAGCGAGACACCGACGAGAGAGAGACAACGACGCATCGGACTCAGGCAGCGAACAATAACTGACGGATTAGCCGACATCCCGACGTGGCTGGACGAAGGCTAAGTGGACGAGGTGAAGTGAAAAAATCATTCGTCTGAAGCAGTGGCTCGATCACTATTTTTGCCCGTTTCTTCCTCTCCTTTCTTAGTTCCTATTTTATACACAAAAAATAATGCAAGCGATTCAGTTATCTTTTACCTTTTCACTTACAGCCTACTACGATTTTCACGGCAGGGTATTATACAAAATCAATCACAACGATGCCGAGATATTTGCAAAACCCGGAACCCTGGCCAGATTGAACCGCCACTGCCCTTTCAGGGGCTCGCGCATTACACACTACGCCACAGAGACCTTTGCTGTGTGTTTCTCTCAGATATTTTTCTATCTGCCAGTGCCATCGGCAACTAGCCGCCCACGGGATTGATCTGGAGAGCCCACATCGGCATTGAACCCATTTAAGCTGAGGTTACAGTGCATCTCAGAGTCCATCTCTAGAATATCTCGGCTATCTTTGTTTTTTCTTCGAGTGTGGCTCAGTGGTCGGAGGTGCCCTGCAACACACCTGGAATCGATCCCCGCGCGCATGGCCCACCAAGCTTTCCATACCTGCGGCCTCAGCAAATTGGTACCAGACTTGTCTGGGAGGATAGCAGCACTAGCTCGACACATCGGCAGGCCACCGCGAAGCCAGATATGCATTCATTCACCTCCAAACGTTGCTTAATGAAGTCGAATGCAAGGCGCATCCCTTAGGAATTGACCAACGCCGAGAGCTTAATCCTTCGCCCAATTTATCCTTGTTTTTTCTTCGGAAATTTTAGTAATGAAACCACACGAAAATAAAATGAAAACAATGGAGTGGAGTTACGGCTTTAGAAATAACAATGTGAAGTGTTTTCTAGAGATTGAAAAGGATTATCTCAAATTCACAGAATTGTAGAGTTTGGCAAAATCACAACACGAAGTTGAGCATTGCAAACCATAAAAGGATTGCATATGTGTCGCAGAGTAAAAAAAAATAGCTAGAGTGAGGAAAAATCCGGTAATTACGAATCACGAATGGGCGGCAAAATTAATTCAATGAATTAGAATGACTGTCGAGGCAGAATGAAATGCTCTTGTTTTCTAGGAGAAAGGAAATTATCACAGCATAAAATGAGCAGAAAGCCGATCTCCTTTGTCGCTGTCGCTCTGGGTCAATCCATGGGAGTTGGAAATTCTTCGCTTTCGACAGCCACCAACTCCAATGATGGGCAAATTGCTAATCGGCGATCATCGTTTAGATCAATTCTCGGACTATTTCGGAACTGTGTAAGTGGACGAGCTTCAACTAACCGTCGGCCATTTCGTAGTGACGCGACGAGATTCGATCCTCCATGCTCGAAATAGCGTGCATTTTTCGTAGTGAACTAACTCGTCCAAGGTTTGTCGTCGACTGAAAGGACGAGTTAAGGAGAACTTAAAATGTGTATTTTACTTCTTTTTTTACATTTTCATGTACTATACATATTTCATATTTATTATTCCACTTTTTATCAGGGAACATCCAGAAAACGTTTCACGCTGCTGACTTCACCTGCTAAAGTTTCACTCAATTTAGTTCGAGCGAATTAATTACTAACTAAATATTTGCACGATTTTTACTTAGCATTAATCGGTTATAAGCCTGTTTCTTCTCAGTATTACTATAAATATTATTATCGACAATAATAATATTCATTATTGTTATTACTGTCATTATTATTATTATTATTATTATTGTTATTATTATCACTGCTACTTCATCACTATGGCGCGTGTGTCGCAGTGGTTGAAGGCGCCTTTGCAATACACATGGGATCGATGTACGTGCCCGTGGTTCACCAAGCACTCCATCCCTCCGGGGTCAGGAAATCGGTACGAGACTTGTCTGGGAGGATAGCACTACTGGTTCGATACATCGGTAGGCCACCACGAGTTATTGTAAAGGCCAGATATGCATTCAATCACCTCCAAACGATGCCTAATGAAGTCGAATGCATGGCGCATCCCTCAGAGACTGATCAACGCCGAGAGCTTCATCCTTTTATTACAATAGTTAATAATAGTACCATTACAGGATGAAGGATAAAGCTCTCTGCGTTGATCAATCCCTGAGGGATGCGCCATGCATTCGACTTCATTAAGTATCGTTGGAAGTGATTGAATGCATTTCTGGCCTTTGCAATGACTCGCGGTGGCCTACCGATGTATCGAGCCAGTGATGTTATCCTTTCAGACAAGTCTGTTACCAAATTGCTCACCCCGGAGGGAACACTTATTGGGCCATGGGCGTAGCGATCGATTCCACGTGTGTGTCTCAGTGGCGCCTCCAACCACTGCGCATCATGCGCCCTTTTTCATAGTACAATCATTATTATTAATTACCGCTTAAAGCTGAATGAGCAGGTGTTTAGTTGTGCTGTCACTTACCACTACCTACAGATATGATTTTTAGTTCTATTGGTCATAATGTTTTCTTTTGCACGAAAGATTATAAAGCCAATTTGAAAAGTTTTGTACTCATTTAAAAACTTGAGCATAATGATGAATGACAATTATGTAGCGTCATAACATTTTCGTCGCTAAGTTTGATTTGTTTTTTGTGAGTGAAAAGCTTTCCAAAATGTCTTTATAATATTTCAAGTAAAAAAACTCTTCTCCCTTCCAAAAATTCTCCGAACTGTTTACCGCCTCATCGTGGCTGGGAGGTGCTCCTGGGTGTCGGACTGCGATGAACAGCGAGGGGATTCATTCTCCCCACAGGGTCTCCCAAGCTAAGAAGGAGTCCGGTGGGCTGACCTCAGGACTTCAGGGAAACGCAATATTTAGACCAGCGAAAGTCCGAATAATAGAGATTATGCTAGGGCCCGCACAACTAGTGAGGACGGGTCCTCCAAGTGTCCAAGCTATGTCACAAGAGTAACAGATGATACACGTTCTTGAGACAAACACGAAAAGATTATTCAGTTCCCTGAAATTCCTCACCACTAGCCCGCTCTTGATTTACCCACAACTAAGAGCAAAATGTGTTTGTTAGGATAAGATCGACTTTCGTCAACAATATGGGGAAATTCTTCCTATGGACTGTTTCATTTCATAAATCAGAGGCGCGCTCTGATTCGTCGAGAAACGGTTGAGGAATCAGATGGTCTACGTTTATCACCTACCACCATTTACAACTTTCTTCCGGTTTTTCAAACGTGACATTAAGGTCATACATTGTTGATGTCATATTCAGCGATATGAGGTGTACAATTTTGGTCAAGAGAAGAAAATATCTGAAAAAAGTAGAACGAGCAGCGGCAGATGAAGCAACTGAGAACAATGAAGCAAGTTGGAGCACGTTTTGGTTTTTTGGTTTTCTTCTTTCCAACACTGTTCCATTACGAATAGATGATGCTCTTATCAAAAAACTCTTCATGACCCTCCTATGCAGGCGGTCCATTCCCATTGGATCTCTGGATATGTGACTTGCCTGTAGGCTGACGCTCAGTATTAGTCATTACTAGTGTAGAAAAATGAATGTGCTTACTGGGTTTAATGTTGGTGGCGGTTCATTTTTGCCTTACTGTCATACTTTAAAAACATCTCACTTCCATAATGCTTGACTTGTCATATGATGTAAATTAAGTCGAATATTAAACTGAGGGCACATGCTGCGTAGTGGTTAGACATGCTGTACAATACACACGTGGTCATTGGTTCGATCCCGAGCCTCGTGCTCACGGAGCGTTCTTTCTTTCCGAGGTCGACGAACTGGCACCATATTCGTTTGGGAGGATAGCATTACTCACTTGATATAGCATCTGGGAAGGGTACCACGAACATGGGCCAGATATGCATTCAATTAGCTTTATGGAAGCATGATGAAGTCGGATATACGGCACGACCATTAGGGATTGATCACCGACGAACGTTTCATCCTCCATTCCCTTGCCAAATTCTGGTGATTTAATTCCCCCAATCAATTCATTTTGGTGACGATTTCACTGTCTTTTGTAGGATTCATTATTAGAACCATTCAAACACTTTTTGTAGAAGCTGAAGAGCAAGAGAGAAACTGGAACCTCTTCTACAGGTTAAGCGCTAAAGCTCGTTCTCTAAAGCTCCCGGCATCGATCAATCCCTGAGGGATGCCTCATGCATCCGACTTCATCAAGTATCGTTGAAGGTGATTGCATATCGGGCCTTTACAATGACTTGCGGTGGCCTACCGATTCATCGAGCCAGTGCTGCTATCCTTTCAGACAAGTCTCGTACCAATTTGCCGACCCCGAAGAAATGGAAGGCCTGGTGGGGCATGGGCGCGGGGATCGATTCCAAATGTGTGTTGCAAGGCTCCTCCGACCTCTGCACCACACGCAAGTTACAAGGATAAGTCGAAGAAAATTTTGACTAATCTTTCGCAATACATCAATCACTGAACCATTTGCCTTGTTTCGATTGCCGTTCTCGTTGTCTTTTTCATTTTCTTTTAGCTTGATGCTCCTTCTGGTCATGAAAACTTTAGTGGATGTGAAGTAGATGGTGGAGAGGAAAAATCTTATATCCATAGACTTAGCCAAAAATCGATTGCTACTGAAGAATTCAGCAAAAAATTCGCATACTCCGAAATTTACCAGGCGGTCGTACTGCTTACGAAGTACACTCTCGTCTCGAAGAGAGTGCAATTTCGAACGGAACTTACGGCCAGTATTATGTTAGCCGATTATTACGTAGAAACCCCTGACAGGGTTGTAAAGCCCACTAAAAGGTTCAAACACAAAACGATAAGGTAGCGATTCTCTTACGAAAATGGTGAACTCTTATAATGGAACCCTCCCAACGCTTTACCGCCCTATCCTGGCTCGGAGGTGTCCATGGGTGTCGGACTGCGATGTACAGTGGGGGATTCATCCCTTAGCATGGTCTCCCAAGCTGAAAAGGAGTCCGACGTTTCCATCAGAAAGTCTAGCTAAGAGTAAACCAATACCAAGATCCACCACCGCCCTGGTATTAAAGTCGCATGGTGGCAAATCGCCCTCTGATCCACAAAGGCTGCGGCCGCCTGTAGTGGTGAAGACCTAGGGGAGAGTTTGGCCAGGCTGGTTCGGGATTCCAGGGACGGCTTAATGGTTTAACCAGCTAATCTCCCGAAAACGGAGATTATAGGGAGAGAAGTGAACTTTGAAGGAATCCTACCGATTCTATATTTAGTTTTCTCTTAACAGTCTACATCCTTCCGTTTCCTTAGAATGGCAGCAACAACAAAAGGCAACATTTGTCTTGTCGACCATTCCAAATGACCTTTTCAATGACTTCGCCCTAAGTGTAGGCTAAGCACAAACCTTGGCCATGACGCGATTGCCGGTGAGCAGCGGTCGGATCGCTCCCTGCCCGAGGCCGTTCATTCGCATCCAGTTCATCGAAATCTGAAATTCAGATCCGAGCAAATAAAGCGTTTCTCACCAATGAATAGAAAAATTCAATAGGATGCTCTTTTTGCAAACTTTACCGTATACTTTCATTGTTTCCTTCCAATACTAATATCCAATAATAACATGAAGTATACCTCATGAAAAAACGTAGAGAAACACATAAATAGGTACACACAAAAGAATATGGTACTCACCTGGGCGACATCGGTGTTTGAATCGATCGATGACTGAGGCGATCGACTAAGAGTAGTTGGATTAGTGCCGGTGGCAACACCTAAAAAGTAACAAATTTACTTAGATAGTTTGTGCTCAGTTGAAATGAGACATCCAACATCCAACCCCCTCCTTCCGTTTGTTTTATTGTCTCACGGGGGTTATAGATAGAGGTCCTAGGGGTGCATATGTCCTACCACGCTTTGAGAAATAGTTTTTATTCCGACATCGTGTTAGAGCTGGTTGAGTATTTTTACATCCGTAATCCCAAGATAGCCGATGATGAGGTTTCTAGGCTTTTCATCACTGGTTGCCCTTATCCTTTTTGGATCGCGGAGAGAGGTTTGTTGCCTTGTGACTAGGGTTCTTCCAGAATAAAAGTAACCCCAATGAATACTTGATCGAGAACCATGTGACAAGCCGAAATAAAAAAACTAATGCTTAATTACGGGCTAGTTTAAGAATGGATTAAAGGAGAACTTATGCTGAAAAGAAATGAAAATGAAAACCATATGGTGGCGGAGAGACTTGAATACATCAGCCATTCAAAACGTCCTTCGCTGGGTAACTAAGCTTTATAAATGATGTAATAAAAAATATCCTCTAGCTATAGAACGTTTGAATTCACTATTTGATCACATTAAGCCAATGGTTGTCTACGAATAGCGGAAAAGCGAAGCGAAGATGGGAAGTAGTTGAAAGCATGGTTGTTCAGTTAGTGCTGCTTAGGTAATGTAGACAGCGCCTAATATGGTGATAGCTAAACGGTGAAAGTGAAAGAAAACAATTGAAAAAAACAGTGGGGCTGGAATCAGTTTCCCCATTGTTCGTGCGAGAGAAGTGCAGGAAGCCGTCGCCAGTTCATGGAAAATTCGAATGAATATCTGTAATACGGTGGGATTCCCATTTATATAATACCATTGTTCCTCGTATACTCGCTAAATAAATATTCAGGAAAGTCGAATGTGTAAACTGGTTATGTCCTTCAATGAAAAGAGCCCATGGAGTCGCTAGCTCATTGGATCCTTTTTTCGTTGAAATTGGAAGTTGGAACTGCTACAGATTCATTACCCTCCACCGTCTCATCACGTTCTTCACCTATTCACATAAAAATGATAAGGAAACAAGAATAGAGAAATCTTCTGGAGTACACAGTGTTGTTTGTCAGGTAAGGAGAGCGATTGAAGCAAGAGGAAGAAACGATTAAGGGCCATAACTGCAACTGTCGAAGCTACCGGCTCAACGCCAGCAGCTGTGTCATATCGGCTGTGGCGTCAAAACTCACACTCACCCGATATTCCAGCACGACGCTTCCGTTGCTGACGGTACTGAAAAAACAAGGGGTTTCAACTTTCCATACAAAGTTTTATGCCAGTGGAAAAAAAATTAGAAGTCGTAAAGCATTGTTTTCTGAAGAAATTTAAAGAAATGGCTTCACTCGTCAATGTAGTCCGAAAAGAAATCTTTTCGAAAGCTTTCAGTATGATCGTTTGAAACTCACACTGCCTCGCTCATCGAGACTGTTCATTTGTCGAAGAACAACCGACGGCATCGTCAATATGGAGAGTTGTTCGTGCTATGGGATGATTAAGGTAGCACCGGCGATATAGTAGAAAGAGATTTGTTCCATGAACAGTGAAAGATACAAAAAGAAAAAAATCATAGAATCTGAAAGAGATTCGAAAGCGAAAGAATGAACAATTCGAGTGAGCTGACATAATCGGGAACATCTGGTAGCCATTCAACGCCAGCGAGCCGGCCATCGCTCGTGGAGACACACAAAGAATTTCGAAATGAGAACTCCTACCCAGAATCACCTGAAGGTGATCTGCGCTGATTTGCGGAATTTGTACCAAGTAAACTTCAGCAAAAAAGCTGTTCATGATGAGAGCAATAGAGAAAGCTGTTTTAGAATTTTTTCCCCTTCACACGAGGATTGACCGTTTTCGTGGTGCTTGAAATTGTATTGGACAGAAAGCCAAACAGCAGCAAAATAATTGTTCCTCTTAGTTGATAAAGTTCTAGTAAAACAGAAACTCGACTCGGATGGGTAAGTAGATTTTTAACACTGGAGTTCCCAATGTAGGGAGCGGATAGCACAGTGGCAATGATGTTCGTCATCACGAGCATGGTGCTAGTTCGATTCCGCTCGGGGTCAACTAAGTCTCTCATCCCTCCGGGATCGGGAAATTGGTACCGGACTTGTTTGAGAAAAAATCAATCTGCAATCCAATTGGGAACGCTCCAGTCAGGCTATATCAAGACTCCAGGCAAAATTGCTCGACCATCATTCTATTACATTCAAGATGAAATGAAAATACTCAAGCAGCAACCGAAGCCACACGTGAAAACTTGAAAGATCTTCGTGGACGAAGGCTGTCAGGAAAGGAATTGGATGTGAGAAGTGCTAGGATCCGGACAGTAGCGAAAGGTTTAAGCACCAAGACAAAGAAAATAGTCCATAAGGAATTGGTTCGTAAAAGAACTGCAGATTTTTGAATCAACTTTTCGTATTCTTCCTTCGATAAGCTTAAACGTGTAAGCTTATTAAGGAAAGAATACATATTGATTAGTCATACTGAGGTTAAAGGAAAGTCGGTTTTGAAACATTGTTGTGCTCTCATCTCTTCTGTGTTTAACTTTTTGGGACGGTTGACGTTTATTTTTTTTATTCGTTAAACCCGTCGGATTTGATTAGTCACAGAGGTTCAACGAAAGTCAATTTGGAACTATTTTGAAATTTTGAAATGCTACGGTCTATGCTAGTTGGTGGTGATACCGACTTCTACAGGACGGATAGTCCGAAAAACAACTCGTTATCACCGGATAATCACTATTACCAGCAACCATCATCATGTATAAAAGAGCATCACTGGGTGAGATTGCCTCATTTGAGACATGCTCCATTGAAGAAAAGCCGACTCGATACGAAGATGAAGAGGGTACATCGAGAATGTGAACAACTGTAGACCATCGACTCGGACCATTGGCTCTGATGAAGGCGAAGACGTCAAAACGTTAGTCGAATAAAATTTGTGTAACAACCTCGTGTAAGCCCGGCAATTTAAACACAAAAGATGGACTTTCTATAGACCTCGGCGCAAATATATATATATATATATCTTCTTATAAACTGTCCTTGTCTAATTCGATGTTTTTCTTCATTAAGCAGACACGAGGTTGTTATTATAGAATTTATTAGGACACAATAGCTGACGTTTCGGTAGTTTCGCCTTTTTCAGAGCCGTTTATTTGTCGTAAGTATTTAAGCTAGTTGATGGATAGCAGCCGCACAGAGTAATACATGGCGATAACTGACCTCGTTTAGCCCTTAGGTCAATAACCATCATAACCATCTTCATTAATACTATAGATTTGACCGAATTTTGTCACATTTAGTACGTCTAGGCTCTGAGGGCGAAGTCGCCGAGACGTCGACGTCTAACAACGACAGCAATAACAATAAGAACATCTATAGCAACCTCGTATCAGCTAAACAAGGGTAGTTTGTAAGAACTTATATATAACTTAAACACATGTTGATTAGTCATACCGAGGTTAAAGGAAAGTCGGCTTTGAAATAATCAACTCTTCTGCATTCTGGTACGAAAACCACAATGACGAAAAAAGTTCCGTCGTATATTGCAGCCATCCAACCTCCGGATTCGAATGGTGGGCGGAAGAAGAGCACCACACTCGAAGAAGTAAAGTCACTGATTTCCTCGCTTGACTGCCTTCCCACTCTCACAAATCGACACAACACTGCACCCACCAACGTCCCTCTACGTATTGTCTCTCGCTATTCTCTGCAAGAAACAGAGTAATCTTTATCTCTAGCGCAGAAGGAATAAAAAAGGTTTGAAAGAGGCGAAAATTATGCCGTCAAACGATTGTTAAGGCTGTAGATGAAATTATAGATAGAATATATCAAAAGTGGCTTTTCTCTTTTCTTCCTTTGTGTTGTTCCACAGATGGCATCACAAAAATTACGAATTCGAAAGTGAACCTGTAGACGAAGGAGGCGTACATCGGAAACCTTCGGAGAAACACAATGAGAATTCTCAGCAGCACGTTAGACAGAGAGAATTGGCTTGAAGTCTTTAATGAATATTTCAGGCTAAGTGAAACGACAGATCTAATTGCGTTCAAGTTTCTTCCAACTCGAAAAAATCTACTTAAGTCGAAAATTCTGCTGCTAATGAGATATTTCGAACATTTGCAACACTCCCAACATTCATTTACAATACTAATTAAGTTATTATAGAAAAATGGCTCTTGCCACACAGATTTCATTCTTGGATTCTGAAACGGGGTTATGCCAGATGTAGCAGTGGCTCTTGTGGATTCGCAAGTCAGAAGTGGGACAAGTGCGGTGTGGAAAAAAGGGAGTTCGTGGTAGGAACGCCAGCCAAGAGGCCCGAAGTGTCGGCGGCCGACGAGAGGCGGCGTGTGACAGCTATTCATCAAGCATGAATATCCTTGGTTGTGAAAACATCGAAACAAAAGAAACGATGTCGTCTATGACTGCCATCAAGAGAGTACTAAATGATGAACAAAATTTTTATCCTATGTAAATTTCGAAATCGTTAAGAAAACAAACTAAGAACGCCTGTCTGGGAACGCCTGTCTGGCCTTCTTCGATGAGTTTTGAAACAGCAACAAGAAGAAAAATTGTATTAACTTGAGAAGTAAGATTGCACTAAATTTTGGGTAGATGCTCTCGACAAGTACTGCAGGTTTCCTTCTAGGAATGACGTACAGCTTTTGACCGCTCATTTCAGTGACGACGGTGTGTTCCAGAAAGAAGGAAAAAAATTACCCAACTGCACGATAACCTCCGCTGAAAGCTCAATCGGAGAACGTCTGGTTATTGCTGACGTTACTCTCACAAAAAGAAAGAAAAATACAACCACAACGTTGCTGAGATATTTGCAAAACTCTGGACCGCAGGTGTCTATGGTGGGGAACGAACGCGCTATTATCCTCTCCGGGGAGTAACGCGTTCACCACCACACCATGCGGGTCCTTTGTTTCGCACGTCTCTCAGCTATTTCTATCGATCTTTTTGCCACAGCAATCACCCGTCAGCGGGGTTGATCTGGGGAGCGCAAATCGGCATAGAACCCAGTTAAGCTATGGCTGTAGTTGAAATCACAATGTTTAACGTTTTTAGTAACCTGCCATGAAAATTATAGAAGGCAGAAAACAAAAACGTTAAACAGAAAGAAAAATGTTTCATTTGATGTTTTTCTTCAATAAGCAGACACGAGGTTGTTATTATAGAATTTATTAGGATACAATAGCTGACGTTTCGGCGGTTTCGCCTTCTTCAGAGGTTGGAAAGGTTAAATTGAGGTGCGATCTATCCAGCCAAACACTTTCATAACCCCAACAGAGAAAACTTAACAAATAGTTTGTATTCGCATAAGAAACAGCATCATTTAAACACCTACCGTTTATTTGTTGTAAGTATTTAAGTTAGTTGGTGGATAGCAACCGCACAGAGTAATACATGGGCGAAGACTGTGCCTGTCAGGCCATTGGATCAGCCTGAGGTATGGCGCCAGGTCACGCGTGATGACAAGACACTCCTCCTTGCGGTTCATTTTTGAACTTTTGGAATTGATCCAAAACGCTTCAAGAGTTTTACGCGCTGGTGCCTTGGATTCCTGTGGGAGTATAGTGACTCCTACTTCAAAATTTTCTCCTTGTGTTCCTGCATCCTATGCGCGCCTAGTGGAGTGCTTGGTTTTAATTTAGATTTACCGGATAGCTGTTCTTTTATGCAGAAGCAGAGCGGTCCACCCGTTTCAACAACGTATTCATCCCCGCACGCTTTACAAGAGATCAGATAGACTGTACCCGAGCTCATGCAATCACCGTCTCTACCATTGGGGCAAATTATGCAGTTTTTCGTTATACATAGACGGTCATATAGGTGGTTGCGAACTAGCTGGCGTCTTAGAGTGTCGGATGGTATTTCCATCACTCTTACGGAATTCTCTAAACAACGTTTTATAGCTGCACTTATTTCGTTTGAAATAAAGCACAAGAGGAAAGGAGCCTTATTTTCGCTAGAATTATCGCTCTGGGGCGTGGGTTTTCCTCTATGCCTATGCCGAGAAGCTACACTTTCGTAGCCATTTGGAATGGCTATTTGGCGCGCCAGTTTCGAGTCTTCTTCCCTCTGCTCGCTACCTGTGAACACGTTGGCAGCGGCTCGAAACATATTTCTTATAAGGGCCCTTTTAGTCTGTGAGGGATGAGAGGAGAGGTAATGAACCACTATATTCTTACTGCTTGGCTTTCGATACCATTTTGTGTTGAACCCGTTTTCGGATAGGTTGATTTGAACGTTTAGAAATAGAAGCCAGTTTTCCTTCGGTTTTTTCACGGATGAATTTTCTGTATTCTGACTGTTCCTTCAATAACTCAAAGCATTTGTCCATCTCCTCTTGTGTGGAGCAGATGACAAAACAATCATTTATATACCTACAGTAGAGTAATGGCCTGAGATTGATTACTGGTGCTTGAATATTAGACAAAAAGACA